AAAAAGTTGATAATTAATGCTGTCTATATTTCAGTTCTTCTTAATTTTCTCACAAGCACTTGAACTCCATTCAAGCTAGCTGACAAAACCCTTTTCTCGTTTGAGGTGCATGATTTATGGAAGTGTTACAGTGTCTGTGCTTAATGTTAGGGAAAAGAAAAATGCTACCTTCCACAGGACTTTTAACTTTCATCGTATAAAATCAATGCCTTATTTTAAAGAATCCTTTTCTGACCATCTGAATTTCAGTAGTATGAAAGTCACAGGTAAACATTGCTAGAAAAAGAAATAAGTAGCAAAAAGTACATTTTGCAGAAGGGTCGTAGGATCTGTGTTTAATTCTTCAAAAAAAAAAAAGTCATGAAGCAGAGCATCTATTGCTTCTTAGGTGGAACTTGTACAAGTCACACAAATATAAATATCTCACAGATGAAATAGCAAAATTGGTTTTGCTGTTTTGAAAGCTGTAGTTTGATAGTTGGAAGGCAAATAAGAATTCTGAATAGGTTTTACAGGAGTGCCAAAATACCAGTAGCAAAGGTAGAAAGAGGCTAAATGTGAACAGATCACCTATTTCTCCCTTGAAGATGCTATTTGAGAAAATGTACTAGGATTTTTCAGCCAGGGACTGATGCTGTTAATTCCTTGAGCCTTACAACCAAGGTCGCTTAGTGAGGCGTGACAAAGTAGTCACAATTAGTTGCTGATACTTAAGACGCACAGCAGACTTTCTAAGACATTTTAAAAATGCTGTCCTTTATTGTTAAAGGTGTGCTTTCACTGCAGTATAGTAAAATGCTGATTAAGGCAGTGAATTGATTTACAGCTTAGAAGCCCCTTCAGATAGTATTGAGGAAAATATCCATGTCTGAGAAAGATATACAAAAAAAAACATTTGTGGATGAAAGTTTTGTTCTTACGAATACTGATTTATTTTGTTTAGTGGTATAAGAAGTATATGGTTTATGTAGATGATGTCACATTGTGTAAAGCATTTGTAATGAACTGTGAACAGTTCAACTCCTTTTTTTGATGTATTAGAAAGAGAAATAATCATGGCATTGTCTGTATTGGTGCACATCTGTTCATGTTCCCAGGCACTAAAATGTCTTTTTTCAGTTTCTTGTTCAATTTTATTTTCTCTTTCAGTTTCAATATTAAAATAGCAAAATTCTTTGATTTGGGAAACTCATTTCCCTGCTGCTCATCTTAAATATTAGAACATCAGCAACAGTCAGGAGAGTTGCATATATGCTTTCCAAACAGATTATTCTGCTTACAAATAAAGTAGTTTGCATTTTACAAAGGAAAAGAATCTGTTTCTTGTAGGTGTTTCCCAAGTATCCAAAGAGGAAAAAAAATTAAGTCGACCCAAGCATGAAGGACCAGATGGAGCTAAGGTTAATTTAGAATCGCCGGCAAAGCCATTGGGTCCTGTTGCAGAAACATTTAGAGTTATTCAGGGGGCAGTAAATGAAGAATTTGTGAAAGCTGTTCAGGGAGTCTTTCTGTTCGAATTATCAGGTAAGACTTTCACTTGTTAAATCTTCACATGCTCACATTATAGCAAAATATGTTCGATGTTTTCATATAGAAACACTCATCTTTTAAAGCTGATAGAGAAACGATAGTAGCATCATCGCCCTGCAATGCTACTTTACAGGACCAACTTCAGCAAATGTAGAAATTGTTGCTTCCGCCATATGATTAGTAGTTCCTGTTTTTTTGCCACCTCTGGTTGTAGCAGGGAGTGATGTGTTGTCCCCCCCCCTCCCCCCACCCACCCC